TTCCAGGGAAAAGAGAGCCCTAGGGAGCTTCAGAACCAAAAACAGGGACAGGATGTTTTAATTTAAATCAAATTTTACTGGTGCCGGCTGATGACATCTCAGCTTCCACTGGTATAAATTTATGCAATAGGATTTTGCCCATTTTTGTAGCTGAGACTCCTTTCTGTGCCCTGGAACTCTCTTCCACCTCTTTGAGATTCATTGCATTGCCTATGTGAAATATATTTCCCCAAAGGAAAGTATAATGGGATTATCGCATTTTCTTCTTGCTCTACTTTCTGATTTTTTTTTGTCAAGTGAGGAATGCTATTATGAGAAAATCCTACATGTAGATCCTACATTGTAAAATTTACTATAGTTGTCTCAAGACTGTAGAATTCTCCAATATCCTCCAGAACACTAGCATCTCCTTTTTGCTTTTTTCATGGTTTATTTATTTCATGTATTTAAAATATGTTTTTTCCACCTTTCTCGAAGAAGGTAAATCACTTCTGAGTATCTCTACTGGAAAACTCAGAAGACGGTCACCATAAATCACAACTGGCTTGATGGCACAGGATTATTGACCATCATCATCATCACCATCAGCCTTAAAAATGACTGAAGGTGGGTTACAACATTAAAACACAAAATTTAAAAGCTAACCAGTAATGAGAACAATATTAAAAAAGATTAGACAAATATTATATTAAAATTGTAAATAAAATCAATATTAAAAATATGTTTAAAAACAAGTCATTGAAAAACCGCTCTCAGACAGCACCTCACTAAGGGAAAGCCTGCCTGAAAAGACAGGCTTTCGTCTGCTTGCCAAAGAACAGGAAAAATTCACAATCTCATATCTGCAAAAATGACAGTACAGTTTGTTATAGAATCTGAGGGCTGACAAAGAATTTGATGCCGTCTGTGTAAAAAATTGGGACATAAGATCTTCCATGCCTAAGGTGAAAAGATTCAAAATAAAGTTTCTGTTCCTGGGTAGCATTTGGGTTTCTTGTCACATTGCCTCTGTTAACATTTCTCAAGCTGTCTGAGGCAAGAGGCGTGTGTCACCCTCACTGGTTTAGGTCACAAATCACATGCGGATCAGCCGATGTGGAGTTTCGCAACAGTGGCCACTGGAGTTGTGCGATTTACTTGGTCTCACTTTGCCCTTCCTCCAGAATTGACACCTGTCTCCTACTGACTAAAACCTGTTACTATATGTCACAACTGCCAAACCACTGCAATCTAGTGCTCCTTCTACTGCACTCCCTTTATTTTATAAGGCCTCATTTATGGGATTAGGGGAAAAAAGTGGTGTAAAGAACGATTTATTAGAGGTGGGCACAAAGCAACAGTTTGACAGTTCATGCGGATTTCTTCATGGTTTGAATGGGTGTTTGGTGCTTCTGGGCCCGGCCTCCTCCCGCAGCCGTGCCCAGTCTGAGGCAGGGCCCTGCCTTCCCTGACCCGCCTCCTCCAGGTGCTGCCTCTGAGTGGGCACCCAGCAGAGGAGGCGGGGTATTGGAAGCGCCAAACACCTGTTTGGACAATAAGCAAACTGGCAAGAACCACCAAACTGGCAGTTTGTGCCTGTCATGCTCCCGACCCTCTAAGCAGTGGTCCCCAACCTTGGGCCTCCAGATGTTCTTGAACTACAACTCCCAGAAGCCTTCACTAACACCTGTACTGGCCAGGATTTCTGGGAGTTGAAGTCCAAGAACATTTGGAGGCCCAAGGTTGGGGACCACTGCCCTAAAGGGTTGTCGTCATTTGGTCATAGAGTTCGACAGGCCACTTACCTGCCACCTTTGCGCTGGGGCAAGTCCCAAGACTTCAGCAGTGCGTAGCATAAGCCCTTTGAATAAGTCTGGCCTTAAAAATAACACTTTGCACTTACTCGGTGCTTTCTTAGAACTCACCAAAGCTCTGTTAGGTAGGACTGTTAAAGGATAGCTAGTTTGTAGCCCGCTCCACTTCCTGGATTTAGCCAGACCCTGCTGTACAAGAGACCAGTCCTTTAATAGAATTTTTTATAATTAATTTTTATTAGAAAAATAGGGTTTCATTAGAAATCAGTTTATATTGCATAAGCATTAGCATCAAGAAACATATTCAAAGATGGTTGTTGTGGGGCTTTCAGGCTCTTTGGCCATGTTCTGAAGGTTGTTCTTCCTGACGTTTCGCCAGTCTCCGTGGCCGGCATCTTCAGAGGACTGGAGTAGGAACTCTGTCCATGCTCTGTTGCTGTTTGTTGGATAGTATTTATAGCTGTGGAAACAGGCTTTTGTCTTTTTTCAGGAGATAGGGTGATCAATATGCTTTTCTTGTGATGAGGGATGGGGGGAGAGGGAGAGATTATCTGTCACTGTGATTGATGGGTGTTGTTAGCTGGTCTTTTTTGTGCAATGATCTCTTGCCCTTGTGGCTGGGGAGGGGTCGTTGACCTTTTTCAGGTTGTATTTTTCAGAATGGGGCGCCAGGCCGTGGTTAGTTTCAGGTCTTCTTCTATTCTGTTGAAGTTTTGTTTGTTTATGGATTTCAATGGCTTCCCTGTGCAGTCTAACATACAGATTGCTGGTGTTGTCCAGTACTTCAGTATTCTGAAATAGTTTCATGTCCAGCCGCCTAGAGTGGTCGTAGGACCAGATGGGCGAGGTACAAATAAAATAAATAAATAAATAAAATAAATAAGGGCCTGTTCAGCTACTGCTGATTTTCCTGGTTGTTTTAATCTGCAGTGTCCCTCATTTTCTTTGATTCTGGTGTGAATGCTGCGTTTTGTGGTCCTGATATATACCTGTCCACATCTGTAATGGGCATCTTCAGAGGACAGGAGTCAGAACTCTCTGTGCTCTGTGGCAGTTTGTTGGATAGTTAAATATTTATATAGCTGTGGGATCAGCTTTTGTCCTTTTCAGGAAATTGGGTGATTATGGTGATTAGCGTGTTTTTTTGTTGTGGGTGTATTGGTGTGATAAGGGGGAGAGATGGTCTGTCAGTCTTTTTCAGTTTTGGGAGCGAGGCTTTGTTGAGTTTCAGAGCTTCAACAACAACAAAAAAGAAAGTTTAACAAAGCCTGGCTCCCAGCCCTGAAAAATACAGCCTGCAAAAGGTCAACAAACTCTATCCAGCCACAAGGACCAGTGATCACTGCACACAAAAGACCAGCTAATGACACCTACAAATACAGTGACAGATCATCGCACAATTCTAACACAGGCATCTCAGTTTCTATATTTAATTACTAAGAATGGCAGCTCCATAGTAGGCAAGTTCTTCATAATCTTGCGACTGGTACAGTTCTGCAATGATGTTTTTTTAATTACTTTTTTTTAAATTACTGAACTCTTAAATTCCAGCAGACCTTTACCAATCCAAGGGACACTTGAATTTTTAAAAAGGATTTCCCCCCTCTTTCACGCCATTATTTTATTTTTTCCCCATCTTGAACCATATTACTATTGTTGCTTTTTATTTTATTATACTGTTTTTATTCCATTTTTATTGTTAGCCACCCAGAGTAGACTTGTGTCTAGATGGGCAGGGTATAAATTTAATAAATAAATAATTATTGATAACCTGTGCAACGGCTTTAGTAAGACCTTAACTGGACAAAGGCCTGGTGGCTTGAGAAAGTTACTAATGAAATGGATCAAGCCCAAGGGAAGGTGGCCAAGCTAACAAATGCCTTGGAAATCATGCTCTGTGGCAAGTTGAAGGAGCTGAGCATGTTTGGCCTAGGGAAGATATTATCAAACAAGGCACAGAAGAACTACCTCCAAATATATGAAAAGTTGCCAAATTAGATCATGGAGGCATTCAAGAGAAAATTGGACAACCATCTGTCAGAACTGCTTTGATTTGGATTCCTGCATTGATCAGGAGAGGTTGGACTCAATTCCCTTATAGGCCCCCTTCCAACTCCATTATGCTATGATTCTGTGGAGGCAATATGTCCTTCAGAGAAGGTGTCATGAGCTGCAAGATTCAACCTACACCAAAAAAAGTTTTCAGCTAAATTCCGGGGTGTACAAAATGTAGCTTCATCTCCCCATACTACTGACCATACTGGCTTATGGATGGGAATTCCAGTCCAGGAGCATCTGGAGTGCTGTACTTTGCAAATTAACATTTATAAATTTACAAATTAACATTTGTAAATGTTAGGAGGAACGTCCTGAGGACAGGAAGTGCCCAGCAGCCTGAATGCACCATCTCAGAAGGCACTGCTCTCTCCTCGGCTGCATATTTTAAAGCAGCGGTTGGATAGCTAATTAGCAAAGTTACTGTACCATAGCGGCAGGTAAATATAACTGGGGGGGCTGTATGTGGGCCCCATCACGTCTTGTTCCCTCCCTCCATTCTTTGCTCAGGAAGTCCCCTCAGGCCTCCTAAACTGTAGGGCACAGACAATATAAGGGGGGTTTCAGTTAAACCTCCCCCCGTTAAATCAAATTTTCAGTTAAGAGAAATTCACTGTAGCAATTTTACAAACAAACTCTAGAAATTATAAATTAGCCACTGCCCCTTGTGGTCCCCAGCTGCTGGCAAATCTGGAACATGGCCCTTGACATGGCTAAGGCAACCCATCTGCACTGCAGCAAACTTCCTGCACTGGCATAGGTTCGATTAGATGAGCCCTTTGATTCCCGTCAGCTTTACGGCCCAAACCCTGTTCTATAAATTACGCATACATAAGCGGGATTATGTCACTGATGAAGATTTTAGGTGATTAAGAGTTTCTGCTTCTGTTCTGTGGTGCACCTCTAACATAGATGCGATCAATCCCAACACTTGCAAGGTGTGGGAATCCTGTGATGGAAGTAGAATTTACTGCAACTCTCCCTCTGCCACCGATGTCAGCATCCTTATGCAGGCACAGATTATGAAACAGGATTTTGGTCTCTGGTCTAAGAAGGACACTGTAGGGAAAACTATACAGGGGCAAGAGAGAAAAATGAAAAAAAAAATGTTCTGAGCGTCTGGCCAGGGTATACAAAAGATAACAACAAATAAAATTTTCAGTTATAAAGTTTAATTAATCCGAAAAGTAATGGTGATACTAGAGAACCAAAGTGTCCATATCCCCAACTGAAACTAGAAATGTTTTTTCCTGGAGTACAACATATAGAATTCCCAAGTCTGCATAGGTAATGGGCCCTGCTGAGTGAGACAGTCTGGGAGTTGTTGTCAAAAGACAGACCACACTCCCACTGAATAAATATCTGAAAACAGTGCTTGCTATAATAAACGAATGAAAATAAACATTACTGCCTCATGGCAATGGCCAAAGTTTCCGGTTTCAGCCATTCTTATAGAGAATTGAATTCCACTCCCCCCCCCCTCTAATCCGAGTGCTTAGGGCCATCTGTTGAAGTCCAGCAAGTAACTCTACCCAGAGCCATTTGTCTTACTTCCAGGGTGCAGTTTCTTGCAAAGCTAGAGTCATGATCACCCCTTCCGATTAACTGCAGATGCACTGTTTTAGTCCTCCTTTGGCTCTATACTCTTCAACATTAACTTCCAAGCTTCAAAGTCTAAGGAGGCAGTGAATTCTTCAACTTCTGTCATCACTGGTACCAATCTGTCATCCTCCACCCCTTCTTCCTCTTCTTCTTCTTCTTCACTGTCATCTTTGTCTTCTTCCAGCAGAATGGCCCCCAGTCCTTTGTTATCGCCAGGCTCTGCTTGGGCTGACTTCTCCCCCTCACTATCACTTGGGCTTTTATCAGATGAGTCACTCTCTTCATCACTTGTGCCCCACTCTTCATAATTCGCATTGCCAGTGTCATCTTCTACACACTTGAAATGACCCTCCTTGACTCTGGAAACAGGTACCAAATTATGGTCAGATGGGTGATGAATGGATGGATGGATGGATGGATGGATGGATGGATGGATGGATGGATGGATGGATGGATGAAGGAAGCAAGCAAGCAGGCAAGCAAGCATTATACCAGGGATGGGCAAAATGTGATCCCACCCCAACACTGCTGCACTACAACTCCTAGTGTTGCTCACTCGTGTCTACATTGCCTGGAGCTGATGGGAGCTGCAGTTCAACAGCATCAGGGGGGCTCTCCTTTGTCTATCCGTATTAAAAGAAAGAGTCTTGAAAGTTACTCTAAAAAGTTACAATTTACAGGTCTAGTTCCAAGCCCATCTCCCAAACTGTTCATTTCCACTACAATTACAATTTTATAAAAATTACTCTTAATTATATAGGTATATAGGTACAGTGGTGCCCCGCTTGACGACGATAATCTGTTCCAGCAAAATTGCTGTAGAATGAAATCGTCATCAAGCGAAAGTAAAAATCCCATTGAAATGCACTAAAAACCGGTTAATGTGTTCCAAGTGCCCCGCTTGACGATAATCTGTTCCAGCAAAATTGGTTGTGCTTCCCTTACACACTGGTCACTACAAGTAAAATACATTAGGGTTTATTTTCAGGGGATCTTTTTTTTTTTTAATGGAGAAGCAAACAGCTAGGGAGTTCAGGAGGAAGAAATGGGAGACCATCATCACTCTCTCCCTGCAAGCTGTGTGAAGCAGTTACCTCACTCTGCCCATGGATAGGGCCAACTCTGCCATCAGGCATCTAAAATATTATCCTTTATTGGTTGTGCTTCCCTCACATACCGGTCACTACAAGAGCCCTCCTTCATCCTGAAGGTAAGAGGTAGGATGTTTTTTATGCAGCATGAATGGAAGCAATTACGTCTGAATACACCCTGAGACTCTGTAGAGTACAGCTGCACATAAACATACTTAAGGCTCACCTCTACTGGTGATTTGCTGGGAATTAGAGAAAGATTTTTGAAAACGGAGTAGAAAACTATAATACATAGAAAGATACCACATACACACACTTACTCGTCCATCAGGTCCTTGAAGTCCTATATGAAAAGGAAAAAAATTGAAATGTATTCATTTACATTCTTTCCCATCAATATAGCTGACAGATTAAACAACATGCTCTGTTAATGACATTACTATTTAACTATCTATAGATATCCAAACACCACCGTCTAGAAGTGAACAATGATAAGAGCTAACCTATTTCACAACGGCCTATAATGAAGTTCTCTTATAGACTGGGGGAGAGCAACTTGTAGCTCTCTAGAATGTTCTTGGACTCTAATTCCCACGAACCAGCACAGCTAATGATGAACAATTATGGGTTCTGGAGAACATCCTCATCTGAATTTCTCACACTGTGAGTGGGCCTGCAGCTAGACCCTATGAAAGGCAGCTGTATAAAATTTATTTATTTACTTGTTTATTTAAAACATGTTTACCCCGCCTGTCTCCTTGAAAACGACCCAAGGCGGCTTACAACAATGAAAGCGTATTCAGCTAAGAAGCTTACACCCATTTTTTTTTCTTCATTTTACAAGGTCCAAAGAATTCTTCTTATCAAACTCTCCATATCCATGTGGATCCATACTCTTCCTTGAAGGAATTATAGACTTTCTTTTGACAACAGCCAGGTAAGTAAGGAGCCCTGTGGTGCAGGGTTAAACTGCCGTACTGAAGCCAATCTCTGCTCACAACTTAGGGTTCAATCCTCAGGGTTCACTCAACCTTCCATCCTTCCAAGGTCAGTAAAATAAGTACTCATCTTTCTGGGCGGGGGGGACAGGGACTGCATAATTGTAAACCACCCAGACAGTGCTTTAAGCATGAACTGCTGGATGGCTCTGTGGTTTAGGTCTCTGGCTATTGAGCCAGAGGTTGCGAGTTCAATTCCCCATTGTGTCTCCATGGTTTAGGTCTCTGGCTATTGAGCCAGAGATTGCGAGTTCAATTCCCCATTGTGTCTCCTTGAGAGGGGCTGGACTCGATGATCCACAGGGTCCCTTCCAGCTCTGTAGTTCAAAAGTTATTATTATAAGCGGTATGTTTTTCTTTTGCTAAGTGACCCTCTAGTTCAATCTCTGAAAACAGCCACACTTTACCTTGAGAAAGGCAACACTATCTGTAGTTGCTAATGCCGCTTTAATGCTGGCAATGTGCTTAGTGCATGAGGACATGTCATCTTTAAAAGAGGTTAAGGCGTCCTGCATCTCGTCCAGATTCAGCTCCTTCAGCTCCTGGAACTGCCTCTTAATATCTTCTTCCTTCTCATGCAAGATCTGATGGAGAACCCCAAATTCCTTGCCAATGTAACTCAATGTATCTTCGGTACAACTCTGGAAATAGTGGAAAAAATCAAACCAGAAAGAAGCAACTTTTAAAAAGCAAGCATCAAAACTTAAACTTTTTTTTAAAAGAGTTCAGGACGCAAATATGTACTTATGCTGGATCCTGTTGCTTCCATCAGAATTCAAATGACTGTCCCTTCCCTGCTCTCCCTCCAAGCACCCCAAAACCTTGGAAAATAGGCACTTCTTTGGTGCCACAGAAGGCTGAAGGTGGAGAAGTTCAAATAATGCTAATGAACTACACACTGATGGATTCAGGCTGAAACATAGGCTGACTTGTTCAGGGAGGAGATATGGAAAAATGGCCTTGAAGGCCATAGGCAACCATGGACCACAGGCTTCTCACATTTGCTGTAGCACCACAGTTATCTGACCCGCTTGAGGCTTTTATTCTGTGCAAGCATGGAGCAGAATGTTTTCATTAGAACCCCACTGTTATATAATATCTGCCCTAAAGGAAGCCAACTTAGCCCGACAGTTCCTAACCTTGGGGGAACCCAAGGTATCCGTGGACTGCAATTCCTAGAAGCCTTTATCACCAGCCAACATTCCCTCTAATTTTCAGCTTGCTCTGCTCCTCGTGCACGTGATCTCCCCGTGTGGGGTTCTGTCAAGACCAGAACCAAAGGGGATGTAAACAATCACTGTTTGTGCGTGGAGGATGAAGGCAGTGCAGACTGGGGTCAGAATTGCACCTGGGCACATAGGGGTCATTGCCACCAGTTGTGCTGGCCGGGGTTTCTGGGATATGCAGACCAAGAACACTTGTGTTACCCAAGGTTGAGACGCAGTGTTCTAGACAAAAAAACCCTATTTAGACCATCGTTTTCCATTGTGAGGCGGATTCGTCGTAATGTGGGGTAATCGTAAAGCAGGGCACGACTGTAATATCTGCCCTAAAGGAAGCCAACTTAGCCCAACAGTTCCCAACCTGGGGGGAACCCAGGTATCCGGGTATCCGTGGACTGCAATTCCTAGAAGCCTTTATCACCAGCCAACATTCCCTCTAATTTTCAGCTTGCTCTGCTCCTCGTGCACGTGATCTCCCCGTGTGGGGTTCTGTCAAGACCAGAACCAAAGGGGATGTAAACAATCACTGTTTGTGCGTGGAGGATGAAGGCAGTGCAGACTGGGGTCAGAATTGCACCTGGGCACATAGGGGTCATTGCCACCAGTTGTGCTGGCCGGGGTTTCTGGGATATGCAGACCAAGAACACTTGTGTTACCCAAGGTTGAGACGCAGTGTTCTAGACTGTAGAAACTCAACATGCCCCTACACTTCAGACTATACGAGATTATTCCACAGGAGCCTATCTGCCTAATGATCTTGGTGGATGAAATGAAAACACTTCACATGTGGGGTGGTTTTATTTCTTGTGCTTCCTTTAGTATGTTTTTATCCTAGTCTCTGTCCAACCTGTTTAGGCAGCACAGAGACAGGAAATTAAGAGCAATTCCCAGAAGCCTTTACCACCAGCGAACATTCCCTCTAATTTTCAGCCTGCTCTGCTCCTCATGCACATGATCTCCCCGTGTGGGGTTCTGTCAAGACCAGAACCAAAGGGGATGTAAACAATCACTGTTGGTGCCTGGAGGAATAGAAAGGCTCTGCAGAGTGGGGGCAGAATTGCACGTGGGCACACAGGGGTGGTTGCCACCAGTTGTGCTGGCTGGGGTTTCTGACATATGTAGTCCAAGAACACTTGGGTTACCCAAGGTTGAGACGCAGTGTTCTAGACCATAGAAACTCAACATGCCCCTACACTTCAGACTATACGAGATTATTCCATAGGAGGCTATCTGCCTAATGATTTTGGTAGATGAAATGAAAACACTTCACATGTGGGGAGGTTTTATTTCTTGTGCTTCCTTCAGTATGTTTTTATCCTAGCCTCTGTCCAACCCGTTTAGGCAGCACTGACAGGAAATTAAGCTTGAACATACAGTGGTGCCTCGCTTTGCGATTACCCCGCATTACGACAAACTTTTTGTGATCGCACAACGATAGTCTAAATGGGGTAATTTTGCTTTGCGATGATCAGTTCCCTGCTTCGGGAACCGATGCTTCGCAAAACAATGATTTTTAAACAGCTGATTGGCGGTTTCAAAATGACCACCAGGTAACTAAAATGGCTCCCCACTGTGTTTAGGGACGGATTCCTCGCTATACAGGCAGCGAAAATGGCTGCCGTATGGAGGATCTTTGCTGGACGGTGAGTTTTAAGCCCATTGGAACGCATTGAAAGGTTTTCAATGCGTTTCAATGGGCTTTTTATTTTCGCTTTACGATGTTTTCACTTAATGGCGATTTTCCTGGAACGGATTATCACTGTTAAGCGAGGCACCACTGTATTAGGAAGTGTGAAGCTTCTGAAGTCTCTTATGAATCATGCTCCCTTCCTATCAAAAACTGCTTTGAGGGTTTCTTTATTTTTACCTCAAGGCTTGCAATTTCCTTCTGCTGATCAGACTCATTGATAACCATGTCTCTCAGTTTCTTCTTCAGGGACTTTAGGTATGGTTTCAGTTTTTTCTGTGAACCGGAGAAACACACCGTGGTTAAGCATCAGTAAACACATCTTTCGCACAAGGGCACTGGCAGACTAGGGAATATTAGAATGGAGGATCTAGAATTCTTTTTTGTTGTCGTTTTAAATCCCCTATAACCAGAAAGTTTGTGTCTTTTGGCATCACAATTCAGGTGGGGAATGAGTAGTCCTGAGACTTCAAGGCCTATCAACCTCAGCCAACTGCCATGTTTACAGGGGCTGATAGGAACTGGAGTCCAGTCAGATGTAGCAGGCCACCCATGCATTAGAGATGACACAAATGTACTCATCAGATAATTTGGTTTCATGAGTCAAAACTGGAGGGCAAAGGTTGCGGAATTTATTTAGGTAGAGACTTCAGGGGAAAAGACATGAAAACATAGATTATGAAGCATTTTGTGTGTGTTTGTGACAAGGGATGGTTATGAAACTTTCATACAGACATTGGAAGGACTGAAAAAAGGGCAGTTTTAAAGCACCCTTAATATTTATGAGTTAATGGAGTATTACTACAGGGGCATTGTTGCTGCTGTAACATATTTCATATTTTTTCCCTTATCACAACAACAAAAATGTACAATTTGGAAGCACTTTGGCAGCACCGCCATCTGTTGGTAGTCCAATACAATTTCTGACACATCCAGCCGCTAGGATTACAGTACGTACTCAACCCTGTTACACTCCCCATGCTATCTTACACGGGCTGTGATTCTGCACAATCAAAAGTGAAGAACAAACAGGATTCACAGATTCTTCCCGAACACAACTAAGAATTCTGACACCTTAAAAAACTAGCACATTTTGTTACTGCAAGAGTTTTGATAGATTGCATAACTATAGCCTATTCTCTTGAATGCATCTGAAAAAATGCCCTACAGGAGTTACGAAAGACCATTAAATCTGATGCCAGCAGGCAGAAGAAATACATTGAAATGCAATAGGGCTTTGAGTTACTTCTGGTGCAACAGAACTAATCCTTTAGTTCCGCACTCAAGTGGGAGCACTGTCCAGAAAAGTTACTTTTATTTTTTCTGGGAGCATGGAATGTCTTAACCAGGATTGCCACTGAATACCGGAGTGATTCTGGAAATTTCAACACAGAAAAATTAAATTTTTCCTAGTTTGGGGACTGAATCCCATCCAACTCGGTGCGATTTTACTTCTGAAGAAACACGCGTGTAACGACGGCACTACAGGTCTGGAACTGGGGCGGCTCGGGCTCTCACCTGCGCGTAATCCACCGCGTTTTTGGTGGGCAGGAAGTCGTGCCCTCGGTGCTCAGGCAGGTCCCGGCAGATCACGCAGATGGGGACGCGATCCTGCTTGCAGAAGAGCTTGAGCGGCTCGTCGTGCTCCGCGCAGAAATGGCCCAAGAAGGCGAAGGCGGC